AAATTATACCAAAGAATTAAAAAATGATAGTATTTATTTTATTTTTTTAAAAACATTTTAATTATCAACTAATAAATTGTTTATAATATTTTTCTAAAATTATTTTTTGGTATTTGATAATCGTATACGTTTTAATTATACTATATTCTTATAATATGTTTCATATTTGTGTCGTAAGAATAAATTATAAAATTATATTGATGACTAACATAATTTTTCACTCATTGTATGATAAATTAATTTTTAGCTACAAACATAAATTTATAAAATTAGTTGTTGTGATTAATATTAAAGTAAGTATTTTAAAACATAGTCATAACAGATAGTCGATTCTTTTGAATACAAAATGTATTTTAGCAAATGAAAATACTGTTTAAGAATTTAAAAAGAAAATAATTAATAGAAATTTGAATTAAATATTTGATGTTATAAATTACTTTATTTTACGTTTGAAATAATTCAAGAAACATTTCTTGTATTTTTATGAAATTTATTTATAAAATAAATATATTTTTTGATAAAAGTATATTATACAATATTAATTATTGTTTGTTACCATTACACTTCACAAATATTACACATAAAGTATTCTTACAGTTACTATTTACACGTTGTTAAGATGTTTTATTTGTTTATGTCTGAAATTCTGAACATTATATTAAAATTAATAGCATTTTTATAATTTCTGTTAAAATGATAAAACAATAAAAGACGATTAGTTTACACTGTTTTACTTTTTATATTATTAAAAAAAATCCGTTTTATAAATATTTATTTTAATATTATTTCCGTCGACACAAAATTTTTACTTAAAATTAATTAATTTAATGGTCTGATTTAGTTTAAAGTAAAATTGTTAATTGTTGGCTTAAGTTGTATCAAATTAATGCTTTTATAAGTAATTTATATTTATATTTAACTAATCAAATAATTTTTAACAGTTATATTATGTTTAATTTAATGTTATTCTAATAAAATTAGAAAAATAAAAATAACACTCGATAAAATATAATTTTGTTTTTCTTATGATTTATGAAAAATATCAATAACTAGTTAATTGTCTTTTGTATTTGTCTCAAACCAAAGTTTTAAGGGATTAAAAAAAAAAAAATAAAATAATAATTAATAGTTAGTTTTACAATGAAACTGTTCTTAAAATTTTTTACTTTTTATTTTGTATATTAGTGGAATTTAGTTTTAAACGTATTTTTTAAATTAAAATCGATTTATTAAAGCATAGGTGAAACAAGAGTACTTAATTCAAAAATATTAGTAAGCTTATGAAATTTAACCGTTATTTTTAAATTTTTTTTGTAACACATCGTGAATACCTCGGATGTAATATTATTATTTAGTTTTATGTTCTTCAAAAGTTTAATTATTAATTTATTCAAAGCATTGGAAAATTATCTTTTCTATCCAGGGTACAGTAAAAAATAATTTTTTTCTGTCCAGCGGGTGGATAAATGTTTTCCGCATGCTGCATTTATCGTAAAAGTTTTTATTAAAATCAGATTAATAAATACATTAATGTATCGATATGTTTCTTCTAATACATTAAGAATAAAATGGTAGCTCTATTCTAATATTTTTTATAATATATACCATATGTGTATAATAACTATAGTAATAAATGTCAGATATGCACTATCTAAGCAAAACAATTTACTGGCATGGCGGTTGTAGTGTTACCAAGTACCGTTTCCTTATTATATCGATAAGATGCAGAGGTGTGAAAAAAGTTGCGTGTGTAGTTCGTTCAGGAAGACCATATTTCAAACTTGGGCAAAATATTAATGATGTTATAGTATGTAGTGACCAATTAATAAAGTCATTTGTGTCTTACTTTGAGTCTGTTTGTAAACATAATTGTTCCAATAATGAGATTACAATTTATTAATTTTTATTGCTCCAATCCAATTTAGTTAAATTTATTATTGATATTTTTGAAGCGTTAGAAACTTTACCTGGAACCTGTGGTACAGGTTCGGACAGAATTTTTTCAATTTTTTTTTTTTTATTGATACCGCCTAATTATATGTTTCTCAATATGCACTATTTTTGGTAAGTCCTTTTGAAAAGGTTTGTCTTTATAAATATCGATATTTTTACACGTATCATTAGCTTAAAAATTTAGAAACCTTGTAATACTTTCTAACGTAATACTTAAAACCTATACTTAACCTTGTAATACTTTCTCGTCCCTTATCTAGCTCAAATTTTCTAAGAAAAGTATTTACACGTTTCAAATTCGTTTTATTTATGTGGATTGAAAGAACATTGTTATCTATTATATATCATATTCCTACCAATATGTTTTTTATCTTCACTGTTTAAACATCACTTATGCAAATTACTTTACAATATGCATTTACTTTTCCTTTGAACCAAAAGCTCAAGTATAAATACACGTTCTATACACACGTTGCTTAATCATTTGATTCAGTAAATCAAAGCTTATTAACCCATGTTTTAGATGAACTTGTTGAAGGTAAATCATTTTTTATTTAATCCAATAGAAATTTTATTTATGATTTTAAGTAAAAATTTAAGACGTGATAGTGAAAATAATAAGTATATTATTTTATTTTTACAGAACATAATTTAGATTGTCAAGGTAAAATATGGAATGCAATTGTATGATTAAATAAAATAATAATGAATACTTTATTATTCAATTGATAATTAAACACTAAGTCTATAGAAAATATTAGCTGTTCGTATTAAATATTTATTTTTTAATCTGTTTTAATATATTAATCACAAAACTTTTTTTTCTCTCACGAAATTTTAGATTGGTTTATATTTACTATTGCAGCATGCCTACTTTCAGTCGTTTCCAATCGCGAATTCAAAATTATTGTTTAATAAATTGTACTTTAAAATAGTTCGCTTATTTAATTTAACTCAAATATACAATTGCATGTAAGGTGTGAAAGGTTTTAAAAACTCAATGGCTCTGGTACATCTGAATATGCTGTGCTGAGGGCTTCCTTATATTTATGAGACGTCATTGTCCCTCTTTTTCTAGATTAGAGAGTCTATGTCTTGGTCATGGCCTCGCTATTGCATCTTTCCGAAAGTTTTTGTTTTCGTACATGCGATTTAATCCGATTTCTTTAAACGTGATTTGTAATAAAAAGTCTAAGGATAAGCTTTTATTACTAACATATTTCCTGTCATTTCTTTAAGTTGGTAATAACTGGATATGTATTAAATAACATGTATATTATTAATATTGATTATAATTAGTCCGAGGATTTATATAAATATCGTGAAACAATAGATTTTCTATTAATACATAAAGTTTTTAACATTTGTAGTAATTTGGTAGTTTATTACATCTCCCTATAAAAAAGTTTATACCTATCTGCAAGATAAAAATATAAAAAAAAAAAAAAATTGGTGTAAGATATATCTATGTCACATTTTTTTTTTTACAACCATATGTCATTTAAAATTATCTCTTGAAAAAAAAATATTAAGAACAATTTATTTATATGATATAAAATATAAATATTATAATATTTATCTATCGATATAGTAGTATCTTTGTATTTTTCGATTTACAATATTCAATAAGAAGGTTTTGTTAGTATTTGCATATATTTAATATAAATCAATGTGATTAAATTTGATCTTCGAATAATAAAAATTATTATCTTGTGAATAATATAATTAATCTTATAACCAACATCTGTTACACATATAGCATATATTTATATTTTAATTTAGGTAGTTGATTAAAATTGGGTGAATTCTATAAATTTTATTAATTCTTTTAACTCTCCTTTCAGTATATTCTTGTGTAAATAACTCAATAATCTTTCTTATTCTGTTCTATTCAATTGTTTAAAATTAAAGCGTTGGACTAGTTTTTTATTATTACTTAAAATATGATGATTTATACATATTGATTTTATCTTATCTCTTTATAACTTATAAATTTGTATCTTAGTTTTTATGATATCTCTCAATTTTTCAATACATTTTTTTTTATTCCTAAAATATGGTGTTAACTAATAGTTCTAATAATTTTTACCATACGATTTATAATTTTCTTTATTATTTAGATACCCCCCTCCCTCCCAAAAAAGAAGAATTGTAAATATTGTCATTCACTTTATTTATTGAAGGAACATTTTAATATGCCATTCTCAAAAAGTTCTTCCAATATTTCTCCTAATTTAATGCAAACTAGTGTTTCCTATTACATTTTTCTAATCAATATCACTGTTTCTATGAATATAGTTACAGGTCTCATGACTACATATAGATTTCGATCTAACATTGGTGCAATTATTTTCGTGTTTGCCTCTTAGACGTGATATTTAAAGCATTCTAATTATACCGTATTTTCTATAAATGATTGCATATGCGACATTGTCTTTAGAACTTCATTTAACTCTATTAATCAATTAAATTTTGGATCATTAGCGCTGGGTAATCCGTGTAAATTGTTATTTCTAGTCATAATTATTGCCCATATGTATTTTAATTTATTTATTTTTATTTTTGTTTTTTAAAGTTCTTTATTATTAATTTATCCTCTGATAAATTAAGAAAAATAAATAATTGCAGTATTTAACTAACTTGATGCAAATTTATAAATTTTTTTTATTTTTAATTATTTAAATTAATTTTATTAATCACTGCACAGTTACTTGTAAGCTATGGTAATTACTATATTATTCTTACTTTATAAGTTATTTATCTCAATAGTAATTATGATAAGTTCGAAGATCCATAGATATCGCGAAATAAAACATTTCTTAATAATATGTATGGCTTTTAGAATCGGTGTTAATTTGGTAGCTCACTACACTATATATTTAGCCACTTGCCATCGAAAAATCTCCTGAATAGATACGCCCCACTGCGATATCACCACGCGTCTCATGTATACGACATACTATTATATTGATAGTTAACAATAACGAAAACGATTTAATAATTAATTAATCACGTCTAATACGATCATGTATATTGGTTATCGTCAGGTGAATTTACGGCAGTGAACGGGAACGAGACATTCTCTCTCGCATGAGGGAGGAAGTAGTCGCGCTGCAGTGATAGTCACCACCGGTCGGTCGACCACCACCACCACCACTACCACTACCACCACCACCGCCGACGCCTCAGCTTCATCAGTGCCGTCATGACAAGGACGACGACCACCACCACCGCAATGACAGCGATCGCGGTATGGTGCGTAACCGTCGTGCTGGGCGCCGCCGGTGGTCTGGTGTTGGACGGCACTTACGGCCAGTTCCGGAAGTGGAACGCGGGCGTCAACGGTACGCTAGAGATGGAGTTCAAGACGAGGTCGCCCAACGGGCTGCTCATGTACACCGACGACGGTGGCACATACGACTTTTTCGAGTTGAAAATGGTGGAGGGCACCATGCGGCTGCGGTACAACCTAGGCGCCGGTGCTCAGATACTGATGGCCGGCCACGACCTGTACGACGGACGGTGGCACCGGGTGGCCGTCGAGCGCCGTGGCCGCGTCACCGCTCTGACCGTGGACAATACGACCAGCGCCGCCGGGTCCGCTGGCAAAGAGCTGCAGTTCGGCCGGCTGGCGTCCAACTCAGCCGTGTACGTGGGCGGCATGCCAGGCTGGTACAACGGCCGACTCACCCGGCTCGCCCTGCCAAGCGTCATTTTCGAGCCCCGTTTCAGCGGCGCCGTCCGCAACATTGTCTACACCGACGAATTTTACCCGTACCCGAGGCGGCAGACAGCCGTCAGCGATACAGCCAGACAGCCAAAGGTCAGTATATCATATTATAATACTGCACGTATTGCTTATATTACACAGCGATTCCGATTGAAAAAATAAAAACTACATAACGGGGCCGGGAATTTAACGTGCTAATAAAAATGCCGTCAAATTACTTACTAAATAACAACTGACGTTTAAAAAATATAAATATCGACTAGTCTGTCTGATGAATAGTGGAAAAATGAAAAAAAAAAAAAATGTTTCTGCTTACAATATCTGTACACGGCAATGCAACCTCACCAAGTTTGAACAACATAGTGCAGAGTTTATTTACACGAAACAATTTTATCATTCACCGGGTTTTCTCACTCTCATATCTCTGCTCCCTGATTTGTTTCATGCTGCCTGGTTTCTAAAATTTGAAACTTTAACTAAGCTAAAATGGCTTATGACAATATGAAAATTTAGTCTTATACCTCACTTACTCTTACTTTTATGAGTAATGGTGCTATTTAATTTGTATTACTTAATGTTTTACCAGTTTCTCAATCGACCTTTTGTGCATTGTAAACAACTGCCACCAATAGAGTTAAATAAGTAATTATCGTATGATAGAGCTTTTTAGGAAAAAGAAAAGAAATTTAAGATTCACTATCCAAAACCTCAGCTTGTAAAAATAGAGATATCTATCTTATAGCTAAGTCTATTTCATGCCTCATTAAAACAGATATTAACAACGAAAAATGAAAAATTGTACTAATGTACATATGCTAAATGTCGACAACGCACGAGAGTCTAATTTAGAAATTGGTCAAGTGTTAAGCTATACAAATAAAAGAACATTGTTACCTACCCATCAAAGAGGGAATAAGAGTAGGTGTTGAGTTAAAAAAAGATTAGACTCACTCATGATATATATATATAATTAAATAGATAGACTGACTTTTTTTTTTAAGTGGTCTGTAACTTGGCATTTTTGACGAAGCTTTAGTTTATAACATATAATATACATATTATTTACTAATTAATCAAGTAAGTACTTTAAATGTAAAGTTTAAAAACAACGTTATTTTTAAGCAAACATTTTTTTTTCATACCGAAAAATGTTAATAAGTAAAACAAAATACTTAAAATGGCCAAAAAATAATATAAAACATTGAATTAAATAATTCAAAATAAAATGCAAAACAATAGTTCCAAATTGTAACTCATCGTTACATAATTAACATAACTCGAACTTAGGCTATCAGTATATATATATTATAAACGTATCTAAGAAAAAAAAAGTAAATTTGTATAATATTTCAATATAATGAAACATAATATTTATTCACGATATGACATTTTTTTTTTTTCATTCTGAGTCGATGTATGATTGTATAGACAACTTAGTGTTCATTTTCTGATATAAGTATTCTTTTTCACACCTTAAGGTTATAAACATAAACAATTACTTGACTCATTGAATGATAGTTTTAAAAAATAATTAAACTAGCTAAGTTTCTATATTAGTCGATACCTATAGAATATTTAGAAGTACAAAAACAAGTACTTCATTAATTTTTATTTGTAATAAGTTTAACTCAAATCATAAATAACTTCAACTATAATTAATAATTGCTCTCCAGTTTAAGTTCTTTCAAAAAAATAAATTTTATAAATAAGTTATTTATTTTTACACAAATATAGTTAAATACTATCTATAACAATTATTATTATACTTTTTGTAATTTATAATATAACTGATGATTTGGACTATTTTTAAAGAATAGTGTAATATTTCAATTGACAATAATTTTTTATTTTTATTACGATTAAAATTTCATTAATATAATTAATAACCTTAAAATGTATGGGTGTAAAATTACATATCTATATAAAACTTGTTATTTTAATATAACCATTTATTTATTTTGATTTAAACGTAAAGTTTTTAATAATAAGTATACGACATTTTTCCATGATTTTTTTTTAATTAGTTAATTTGTTTGTTATAATAGTAAAATTTGTTTTGAATGAGAGTTTTTATAATTCGTTATGTTTTAAATAAAATTAAACCTCTCCGACATTCAAATACACCGAATGGTTTTAATAAACCTACCTTTAATAATATAACAACAATAATATAATTATAATAACATACACATTACACACCTTCATTTTAATGTAGCACTTAAGAATTACTCAGACATTCTTGAAATGCTTGTTAATTAAATAATTAATTTTTAAATTAACATCGTCAAAATATTATACAAGAGAAAAATCTTTATATATAGCACTTGTATAAGTACTTAATTAACTCTAAATGTTCGTATTTACAAATTGAACAATTAAAAATTTTAAATTTGTAACGTTAAACTTATATAAAAATACATAATGTATATAAATTCCAGCGTATGGATAAATGTGAGTAAGCTTCGCTATAAAGATGCATCATTACTGTTAACTACTAAGATGCGTAAATGGAACTTAACAATATTCGCACCTCAGTTCTTACAATAAGAATAAATTACATTTATAATTTTAATGAAACTCTTTATATCATGACGAATTGTTATCGCAAATAATTTATAGCACGATAATTTCTCAAAAATAATTTGTTAGCAATTTAAAAGGTTCTGAAACAATATTTATCGCAAATTACAACAATATAATCAGTACTTATTTCAATAGTAATAAAAATAATTTAATAAATAAAAAAATAAATCATACTAATTATAATAATAATGATAAAAAAGTTATAAAAATGAGTACCGCTGCTGTACATTAGATGTCGAGTGGGTCACTATTATGAACGTGTTAAATCTGAATTCAACGTTATTTCATTAATATTAAGTATATTTCATGTTTTTTTGATAGAGCTATTAAAGTTATGTATTTTACTTATAATACAACAGTGGATTGATAAAAATTTTTTTGTAAGTATTAAATTTATTTGTAATTTTTTTATTTGTGTTTAATTATTTTAATAATAAATATTTATACCATATTATATCGAATTATATAACTCAAAATATTATAACATATTTTTGAAACATTAAGTTCAAACTTGAATTTAAAATGTTTGATGGTTTAAGTATAAACTACAAAGAACCATTTATTACATTTTGAAAGTTAGGTATATATCGAAAAGTTTTTGTGAATTTCTAACTACAAAATAGCTTGTGTTTTTTTTTTAATTTTGACAAATATTTTTAAAATTTTAATTTTGAATTTCATAAAAAAATAAATTGTGTCTATATATTTTTAATATTTTTATATACATAAAATAACAACTTTTTTGGAATCTTATATTAAATTTTCAAGATTTTTGACTCGTCGAATATTTTTTTTATCTACAGTTTTGAAAAAAATTAAACTTAAAAAATGTTCATGTAATATTTATAAATAATTAATATTCACGAAAAAATTGGCTGTTTCGAAACCTTTTACAAATTTAGTCAAAATTATGACTTTGAACGTTTATAAAGAAATATTGTGACTATGGATATTCGATAGCTATTGAAGTTACAAATTAAAAGCTTATGAAGAGCTTTGTATTTTAAAGCATTTATACCTAGATTAACAGATTACGTTTCATTTTTAATCAATATTTATGGAGAAAAAAAAACTAAAACTAAAAATGAAAATTTCCTTTGTCTATGAATAGCTCAAATATAGTCGAAATACATTAAAAATGTTATCGTACATAGAAACTAGTAATATAAATATTTGGTGAAAATCTCAAGTATATACAGTAGAAGCCGCTTATTAGGTAGGAACACTATTTGGGACCAAGGTGAAATGTATCAATCAACAGATTGTTTCTAGTAAGCGATTTGTTTGATTTGTACTATGAAAAAAAATGAAAAATATGTATTTAAAAAAATAATCCATGTATTATTAACTATATGTATGTATAATTTTAAAAATTTGAATATATTTTACTATATTATTTAAAATCTATCGATGATTGTTTTCTGCATCGAGTAACTCCATGGCCATATTTTCATACGAGTACCTAATGCTGCTCAAAGCCTTTTCATCTGTACGGTAGTGGACTACTCTCCTGAGAACATTAAGAGCTTCTACAATTTCTTTACTTGATGAGAGTGTTAGAGGTGTCTCGAACTACAAACGATATGTACAGAAAAGAGCATTCTTACATTGATGACTTTTGTAATTACGATAAAGTACAGTAAAAATAAACGTAAAAACAGCAAAGATAATTACTTGGTTATGGCCGGATACCCGGTGGCCGGTGAATATGTTAACTGACCTTAGCATAATTGTTTAAAAAACCGATGTGATGTTTCAATAATCTAATTTATTTTTAACGTTCTAATATTATATCAACAATTATCTGTGTTCCTAATAAGTGGCGTCTACTGTGTATAATATATAAAAAATAAATTTTTTCAAAATTTGGATTTACATAAAAATTCCCGTTTCCCTAGGAATTTCTAATTTTAATTTTTTCAAATTGTAAACTAAATTCTATTGGCTATTCAAAATCATTCTCAAAGTTTAAAATTTAAATATTTTATCGATTACTTATCGTGTACACTTAACAAAAAAAAAAAAAAAATATATCTTTGTAAAATCAATACATTCATTGCTCCACTCAAAATTAAAAAATATTCTTTTATAAACTAAAATAAAAATAAAAATGTCAGTATTAAGAACATTAACAACATAACAAAAAAAATTATTAAGCACATTTTAATTTTAACATTATTATTGATTACTGAAAATTCAAATTTAATTTTATCGTATAGCAAGTGATGTAAAAAATTATTCTTGTATACAATCAAATATAAACAATTTAATTTTTATGATAATAATAATAAAACTCGTTTGAAATGCATTGCAATTCAATCAAATTAACTGATTTTGAATAATATATTCTTTATTTTTTTTTCTTGTTTTCATATATCAATTTCATTTAAAATTCTAAATCTTCAGAAGACTATAAGCCGCATTAGATTCCGGTCACAGACTTTGTTGTGAGTTAAATCTTGCAAAAGTGTGAATAAAACTTTAAAGAGACAAGTAATATCATGTTCTTA